GCCTCCCCCAACCTCAGTCACACAGACTGCAACTTATATAGTCGTTATTCTGTATTCCAAAACAATAAAATGCCTGAGGGTTGAAATGACATTGACAAAATTACTTAGCGTAGGTCCTATAGTTCATGACATCATCACAACTTCTGGACGTGTTCCTGTGTTGTATGGACGTCAGCTTGCCTGTTTAATTATGCAACACTGGTACTGGTACAATATACAACAGGCCTGTGAATCATGTGGCCATTCTGTAATTTGTTGTTACTCGTGCCCGTTTTCTTCATTCGTCTCCATGTTTAAAAATCAAATTTAAAAGTATAAATATTAAAAACATGATAGATGTGTTTGTATTCAATTCCTAACAAAATTATTTTCAATTTGCAATCGCAGTTTGCAAGATGCCGATGAAGAGACGCAATACATAGACTTGTTTTAGAAACATAATATTGTGTTATTCATCTTGTTCTCTTTCTGCATGTCACTTGTTAATCTGCATTTAATATCAGGACAAGACTATAGGAAATAGGCCATTTAGCCTATCATGTCTGCTCCATCATTCAATGCGATCATGGTTGATCTGATAAAACTTGACTCTACTTTTCTGCCTTTACCTCATAACTCTTAATTCCCTCACTGAATCTGTCTATTTCAGCATTGAATGTTCTTGACAGCCCTCTGCGATAAAGAATTGCACAGATTCACGACCATCTGAGAGAAGAAATTCTTCCTCACCTCTGTTTTAAACAGGCAACCACTGACTCTGAGATTATGTCCTCTGGTCCTGGACTGTACCTCTCTGCATCCACCCTTGTAAGCCCCCTAAGAATCTTATATGTTTAAATAAGTTTACCTATCATTCTTTTTAAACTCCAATTAGTACAAGCATAATCTATTCAACCTCTCCTCATAAGACTAACCCTCCATACCCAGAATCAACTGGCTGAACTTTTTAAAAATTCATTTATAGGATGTGGGTGTTGCTGGCTAGGCCAGCATTTGTTGCTAATCCCTATTTGCTCATAGGGCAGTTAAGAGTCAATTGCATCACTCTGGATCTGGGTTACATATAGGCCACACCAGGTTACGACAGCAAATTTCCTTCAAATTTACTCTGCATCAGTCCTATGGTTCATGACATCATCTCAACCTCTGGATGTATTCCTGTGCTATATGAGCTTCAGCTTGCCTGTTTAATTATGCAATACTTACCTGATACTGGTACAATATATAACCAGCAGATGCAGATTCTTTCTTCCTCCAAAAATTGGCAAAGGTTTCATGGTCATCATTAGACTCTTAATTCCAGATTTTTATCAAATTCAAATTCCACCATAGCAGGATTTGAACACAGGTCCCCAGAGCATCACTTGGGTCTCTAGATTAGCAGTCTAACAATAGTACCGCTAGGCCATCACTTCACCAATTCATTGGACAGCCCCCTTTGCCAATATATCTTTCCTTAGATCAGTGATCCTCATCTAGTCTGGCCTACATGTGACTCCAGACCCACAGCAATGTTGTTGACTCTGAACTGCACTCTCAAATAGTCTAGCAAGCCACTCAGTTGTATCAATCACTATGAAGTCTCAACAAATAAGTGAAACCAGATGAACCATCTGGCATCGACCCAGGCGCCGGAAAAGACAACAGCAGAAACAGCCCTGCCAATTCTGCAAAATCCTCCTTATTAATACCTGGGGGCTATTGCCAAAATTGGGAAAGCTGTCTCACAGAGTAGTCAAGCAACAGCCTGACATAGTCACACTCATGGAATCATACCTTACAGATAATGTCCCAGACACCATCTTCTCCATCCCTGGATATGTCCTGTCCCACTGGCAGGACAGACCCTGCAGAGGTGGCAGCAAAGTCGTAAAAAGTCAGGAGGGAGTTGCCATGGGAATGCCCAACATTGAATCTGGAGCCCATGAAGGCTTCAAGTTAAACACAGGCAAGGAAACCTACCACACACTGTCCTCCCTTGGCTGATGAATCTGTACTCCTCCATTTGAACAACACTTGGAGGAAGCATGAAAGGTAGGGGATTTCAATGTCCACCACCAGGTGTGACTTGAAAGCTCTACAGTTCAAGCTGGTTGGATCCTAAAGGACATTGCTGCTAGACTGGGTCTGCGGCGGATGGTGAGCCAACAAACAAGAGGGAAAAACAGATTTGACATCATCTACACCAACCTGCCACTGCAGATGCATGTGTCCATGACAGTATCAGTAAGAGTGACCTTCGCACAGTCCTTCTAGAGATGAAGTTCCACCTTCACATTGATAATACCCTACATCATGTTGTGTGGCACAATCACTCTCCTAAATGAGACATGCTTCATGTAGCCTCTTAATTCTTTAGATGATGCTGTATCCCAAAGGGAATCACCAATACACTGATGTCTGGGAGAAGCTGGTTTGTGCAGAAGCCTTCAAATTTTCTTCATTGCTTCAGGTACCCGTAAGCTTTGGCTACTTTAAAAAAACAGCAATAGTAAACCCCAAACACTTGAGAAATCAGAACAACAGCTTGAAGACTTCAACCAGCAACCAAAGCTTAAAAACCAGGTGGGAGAACACACCGACGCTTCATTGGAGGTGCACTGAGGATGTTACCCAGCATGGTAACGAAACATCTGCAAAACAACAAACCAGCTCGGCGAGCCAACCAACCTCAACAGCAATCGAAGTGTTTAAAGTTGGTGATCACTTTAAACAGGGCTGATGGGAAGTCCTTTCTACCATGGAATGTATGTGTAGCTGTCCAAGGTTAAGTGAAGGCATTAGCTGAAGTGTTGCGCTTCAAACTGGCAGCTGGCAACAAATGAGTATCATGATCAACCTGCTCTGAATATCTTGTCAATGTGGTGTTCAGCACAACTCTTCTGAAAAGTGTACAGAACCCATCAGTTGTCTCATTGAGAAAAGAAAGATTTTGAGAAATCAATCAATTATCTGGGATGGAAGAACCAACTCATGTATCGGCAACTCCTTTCAAGTGCGGCACAGGAAGGTTAACCAAATTATGTAAATTAGTATACAAATAATCTGAAAAATTCACCACAACATTCAGCATTCACCTCTAGGCCACACATAAAACACATGTACATTTATGGAAACAACATTTGAAAAACTTCTTAACAATGAATCCAATGTGGAAGTTGATACTGTCGACACTATACCCCAATATCCTGTGGTGGACTTCCATCAATGAGAGGTCTGCAATGAGCACTCATGTGGATGAATCTTAGAATCATTTTGTGAATTTAAAAAAAAAAACCTCAAATTTGAAAATATATCATTTTGATCTGGGAGCTAAAGCACCAATTCTGCTTTGGATCCTCCCAAGCAAGTGATCCATACAAGGAACATTAGCCATGGAAACTAATCAGAAGAAAATCAAGCCCCGCATTCTTGCAGTTACCCAGCCTATGCTGCTTCATGCCAACAAATTAATTCACGAAGGCTATGACATATGTCTTGATGTTGAAATTAAAGAAAACCTCACACCATCAGAATCAACTTTGAAAAACAAGCAATTGCAATGAATTATGAGCAGTTAATTTCCTTTGCTCTGTTTTCTCTTGATCTTTTGATTATCTTTGCTGAAGACAGAGTCATGATAATTGGTGTGGTGAAAATAGCTTGGAATTACTGAATATATACTTCCTCAGGAGGCTAAGGAAATTCTGCATGTCCACAAAGATTCGTATCAATTTTTATAGATGCACCATAGAAAGCATCTAACTAGATGCATCACAGCACGTTATGCCAATTGCTGCTCCCAAGACCGCAAGAAACAACAGAAAGTCATGAACACAGCCCAGTCCATCGCCAAACCAATCTCCCATCCGTTGACTTTATCTATATTTCCGACTGCCTCAGGAAAGCAACCAGTATAATTAAAAACCAATTATACTCTCTTCCACCCTATTTTGTTGGGCAGAAGGTATAAAATATTGAATACGCGTACAAACAGACTCAAGGACAGCTTCTTTCCCACTGTGAACTGGCTTTTGAATGGACCTTTCAAATGTTAATGTTGATCTCTCTCTTGACACCATCTCTTCAGCTGTAACACTGTATTCTGCACTATGTTCTGCTATCCTGATGCACTTTGTATGGTACGATCTGTCTGTAGAACACACTTTTCACTGTCACTTGGTACATGTGATAACAATAAATAAACTCAAATCAAAGATAGAATATAAATTAGTATTTGCAGAATTGCATTCATTACTTTCGTCAGAGGATGAAGAAGGATCCACTTTTTGGTTGATTATAAAAGTGAAATGGTTTGGACATATAAATATGTTGCCTGGAATTGAACGGTGTTGCATTCAGTTAAATAAAAACAAAACTAAACAGTTATGTAGAGTGATTGGAGATGCTAAAGTTATCCTTTGAATAGATTCAATGGACTTGTTCAAAATCATGAATGGTTTTGATAGAAGAAGCTGTTTACACCAGTAGAAAAAACGGTAATCAGCAGACATAAATTAAAAGTGATTGGCAAATGAACCAGAGGTGATATGAGAAAACATTTTTTTACACTGCGAGTTATGTGTGATGTGGAATGCATTACCTTGATTTGATGGTGGATGCAGAGGCAATAGTAACATTTTTTTTTAAATGGGTATATAGTTGAAGGGAAAAGCATTAACAGGGCTACAGACAGGGAGTGGGATTAATTAGATGGTTCTCTCAAAGACCAGGCACATGCAGAATGGGCCAGACAAACCTTTTATGCGTTTTTTTTCAGAAAACCATAATCTAAGGCATGACCAAGTGTGATTTGAGCCATGCAAACCAAATCTCGGCCAATTAAGCTGCTACAATTAACCTCAAGTTCGGGACAGGCAAAATCTAGGAATATATTTTTAAAAATTAGATGACATTTGTGCTCACAAATATCATCCAGCCACACTTGCTGAAAAATGAACTGTGCAGATGTCAGCCAGAACAGAATTAGGGCTTGTTATGATCTTTGCTGCTATCAATTAGCCAAATGACATAATTGACACAGACTTGCACATGAGCATCAGACTGCTGCCAAGAAATATGGAAGTGGCACCCTGGGGAAGGAATTCTGGAATGTGTGTTGCTGTGGTAAGATATCACACCCAATACGCTAGGATTGAAAGTTCTTGAACTAATTACTGAGCGATTTCATTTGTTGTGCAGTCAAAAGGCTAAAGGGCTAGGCCTGTGCACTTATCAAACCCATTGCATTAAAGTTTGGTTAAATTTCATTTGTAATAAAGATGCAAATTAAATACTGAGAAAGAGTAAGTTATGATCAACACAAAATTTTATTTAAAATTATACACATTCAGATGCATCAGGCTTGCCTTGTTATTCGGATTCACTGGTATTTTGCTCACTTCTATTAAGTAAATGGATTAATCTGCACTGCACATAGAACATTCAAATTAGCTGAGTCATTGGACTGGGGCTCCATCTGTTACTACTGCTTCATTGCCCAAAATGAATAAAATTCAGCAAGGCACCCAATATAATAAAAATCATCAAATACTTTGCATTGTACAGAGAAATATGTTTTTGAATTATCAAGTGTAACAATATTTTTAAAAAGATTCAGATTGGATTGGTTTTCCAAAGTATGACAGTTAAAGGCAAAATATTTTTTCTCTTGAACTTTAACTGCTACTTCCATCATCATCTCAGGATATTATCCAAAATAGATTTTTTAAAAAAATGTCAGTTACTACAATTGATATTATGCAGTTTTAAAAGCTATATTGGACACAGTTGGTTTACTCATCATTGGGAATTGATATATTGCCAGAATTTTAAAACACTGGGAGGAAATGTTTTTTTACATCTTGCCTTATCTACACACTGCAGAAGCAAATATTTAATGAGTGCAAGGGGCTTTCTGACTCCTTCTTTCAAGGAAATGCTTGCAATATTTAAATAAAACATATGAAACAGCTTAAAGAGGAACCATCTGTTACTGTTTTAAATAGGGACAAAAACAAGAAATAGCTTCTCATCTTTTTTCTAATTTATTTATTCGGCAAAGTCTAAGTTTAAATCAAAGTACAAATAAAAACATCCATTCAGCCCATCTTATTCTTTCCAACATATAAGTAACACCAATGCAGCACCAAATTATTTCAAATTATTCCTGTTATTGCCTGCATCATTCTGTCTAGCAGTCCATTCCAAAGTAATGTTCACTTATTATATGAATACTAATGTCCTGAATCAGTCCTAAGTATGCCTGTTGTCACTTTGAAGCTTGCTATCTTTGCGAATTAGCTTAAAGCCAATTTCTGAATTTACCTTCTCCCATGATTTAATTGTCTGTCCCTCTACAAGCTCACTTCAGAGATGCATTCTTTCAAAGCTGAAAATGTTAATTTCGCCAACCTTAGTCCTCCGAAAATCAGAATTTTTTCCACTTTGATATAATTCCTCTAACAACCATCCATTGTTTTAAACCTTCAAGCAATTTTGATTTGATTTGATTTATTTATTGTCACATGTGCATAAGTACAGTGAAAAGCTTTGTTTACGAGCGGTACAGACAGATCATGGTAAGCAAGGACATATAGATCATAGAGAGAAAAAAAAAACTTAGATAGAGGCATAGAGTTTACATCGCACAGAGCGTGCGCTAGGCAAGATCAACATTAACAAGTTCAGCATTATTTGAAGTTAAAGAGCCCATTCATCAGTCTAAAAGTGGCTGGGAAGAAGCTGTTCCTCAACCTTCTGGCACGTGTGTTCAAGCTTCTCTATCTTCTGCCTGACGGCAGAGGTTGTAGGAGAGTATTACGGAGGTTCAATGGATCTTTGATGATTGTGGCAGCCTTTCCGCAGCAGCGAGCCATGTAAATGGAGTCCATGGATGGGAGGTTGGCTTCCATGATAGTCTGTGCTGTGCACACCACCTCCTGTAGTTTCTTATGGTCCTGGGCAGGGCAATTACCATACCAGGCCATTATGCACCCAGACAGTATGCTTTCAATGGTGCATCTGTAAAAATTGATGAGGGGCCTTTTGGACATGCCAAATTTCCTGAGCTGCCTGAGGAAGAAGAGGTGTCGTTGTGCCTTCTTGACCGTCACGTCTACGTGGAAAGTCCAGGACAGGTTGTCGGTTATCATCACTCCGAGGAACTTGATGCTCTTCACCCTCACAACCTCAGTTCCTTTGATGTAGATGGGGACATGTTCTCCTCCTTTCTTCCTGAAGTCAATGATCAGTTCTTTAGTTTTGCTGACTTTGAGAGACAGGTTGTTCTTATTGCACCACATCACCAAACCCGCTGTCTCCTTCCTGTATTCTGACTCATCATTGTTAGATATCTGTCCTACCACCAAGGGGAGGCAGTGGCCTAGTGGTATTATCACTGGCCTGTTAATCCAGAGACTTGGATAACATTCTGGGGACCTGGGTTTGAATCCCACCACGGCAGATGGTGGAATTTGAATTCAATAAAAGAAAAATCTGGAATTAAGAATCCAATGATGACCAGGAATCCATTGCTGATTGTTGAGTGTTATTGTGGAGGAGGTGCAGTTATTTGTCTTCGCTGAATGCGGTCTGTGGGTGAGAAAGCTGAAGATCCGGTTGCAGAGGGTGAACCCAAGACCAAGGTCTCAGAGTTTTGATATCATTCTGGAGGGGATAATGGTATTAAAGACGGAGCTATAGTCAATGAGCAGGAGTCTGATGTAGGCATCCTTGGTTGTTCAGATATCCCAGGGATGAGTGCATTCCACACCTAAGGTTCAGCCTAAAGCTTTCAGTTTAAGTTATTGCCTTTCATGTGATACTTTCACTGAAAATGTCTTTTGGAAATCTTGACATAATACGCTGCAGGGCTTTCCACAATTCTCTTAATTTTTTCACTCAAAGAATTCATGGATATTGATAAGGCAAGGTCTTTTCCCCCTGAATCTATGTTAATTGCTGTTTACTAGAGTATTATGGAGTGAGCAAACGCATGTCAGATGAAACATAATGTGGACAAATATGTGATTATCTGCTTTGGGAGCAAAAACAGGAAGGCAAATCATTACCAGAATGGCAATGGATTGGGAAAGGAGAATGTGTAACAAGACTTGTTTGTCCTTGTATACCAGTCGTCGAAAGTAAGCATGCAGGTGCAGCAGGTGATAGAGAAGGCAAATACTGCCCCCACACCTCCTCCATCACCCCCATCCCAGGCCCCAAGAAGACTTTCCACATCAAGCAGATGTTCACCTGCACATCTGCCAATGTGGTATACTGCATCCGCTGTACCCGTTGTGGCCTCCTGTACATCGGGGAAACCAAGCGGAGGCTCGGGGACCGCTTTGCAGAACAACTGCACCTCCCAGTCACGAACCGTTTCAACTCCCCCTCCCAGTCCTCAGACGACATGTCCATCCTGGGCCTCCTGCAGTGCCACAACGATGCCACCCGAAGGTTGCAGGAACAGCAACTCATATTCCACTTGGGAACCCTGCAGCCCAATGGTATCAATGTGGATTTCACAAGCTTCAAAATCTCCCCTCCCCCTACCGCATCCCAAAACCAGCCCAGCTCGTCCCCACCTCCCTAACCTGTTCTTCCTCCCACCTATCCCCTCCTCCCACCTCAAGCCGCAGCACCATCTCCTACCTACTAACCTCATCCCGCCCCCTTGACCTGTCCGTCCTCCCTGGACTGACCTACCCCCTCCCTAACTCCCCACCTACACTCACCTTTACTGGCTCCATCCCCGCCTCTTCAACCTGTCTGTTTCCTCTCCACCTATCCTCTCCTCTATCCATCTTCTATCCGCCTCCCCCTCTCTCCCTATTTATTTCAGAACCCCCTTCCCCTCCCCCATTTCTGATGAAGGGTCTAGGCCCGAAATGTCAGCCTTTCTGCTCCTATGATGCTGCTTGGCCTGCTGTGTTCATCCAGCTCTGCACCTTGTTGTCTCGGATTCTCCAGCATCTGCAGTCCCTACTATCTCCAAGGCAAATAGTATGTTGGCTTTCATAGCAAGAGGATTTGAATACAGGAGCAGTGATGTCTTGCTGCAGTTCTACAGGGTGTCGATGAGACCACATCTGAAGCACTGTAATAACAAGGTGTGGAGCTGGATGAACACAGCAGGTTAGGCAGCATCTGAGGAGCAGGAAAGCTGACATTTCGGGTCTGGGCCCTTCTTCAGAAATGCCACTGTGCATAGTTTTGCTCTCCTTATCTGAGGAAGGATGTTCTGATTATGGAGAGATGTTTACCAGGTTGATCCTGGGATGAAAATGCTGACATATAAAGAGAGACTGGATCAGTTAGGACTATATTTGCTGGAATTTAGAAGGAAAAGTGGGGGATTCTCATGGAAGCCTATAATAAAATTATGGGGCAGTCCAGAACCAGTGGTCACAGTCAAAGGATATGGGATAGGACTGAGATGAGGAGAAATTTCTTCATCCAGAGAGTGGTAGGCCTGTGGAATTCTCTATCATAGAAAGCAGTTGCAGCCAAAACATTGAGTGTTTTCATGAAGGAGTTGGATGTATTTCTTAGGGCTAAAGGGATCAAAAGGTATGAGGAGAAAATGGGAACAGGGTACTGAGTACGATGATCAGGCATGTTCATACTGAATGGCAGAACAGACTCAATGGTCTGATTGACCTACTCCTATTTTCTATGTTTCTATCATTGCTTAGGTAATCCTCAAGTTTACTCCTAATTATCACTTCCATGATTTTACGTGAGATTGCAGTAAACCAACTCTTCCAATCTTGGTAGGATTTGACATTAAGAGTCTTGACCTATCACACAGGCCAGTTATAAAAGATCAAGTAGAATAGACTGAATTATTGTGCACACCTGATGTTCTACAACTTACAGAAGTGTGGACTTTCAGATGAGATATTAAGCCGAGGTCCTATTTATCCTCTCTGATTCATGAGGTCCCAATATTTGAAGAACAGCCAGAAAGTTCTCTGGCAAATGTAAAACTCTTCATTACTTCGTTACTTTATTTAAGTTTTCATTACTAGAAACAAAAAATATTCTCATTACTTCATTCCCTTTGCAGTGGAGGCAAAGGAGCTAGTGATATTATTGCTGGACTGTTAATTCTGAGACCCAGGTAATGTTATGGGGACCCAGGTTTAAATCCTGCCATGGCAGATGGTGGAAATTGAATTCTGAAATTAAGAGTCCAATGAAGATCGTCAAGGATGACCATGACAGTGTCCACTGTCAGAAAACCCCATCTGGTTCACTAATGTCCTTTAGTGAAGAAAACTGCCATTCTTACCTGGTCTGGCCTACATGTGACTCCTGACCCACAGCAATGTAGTTGACTCTTAACTACCCTCCGTGCAATTAGGGATTGGGCAGTAAATGCTGGCCTAGTCAGCGACACCCTCATCCCATGAATGAATAGAAAAAAATATCTTTCTGTGAGCAAATTGGCAACAATGTTTCCCTGATTACATTTCAGGCTTATTTCAAAAGTACCTAATTGTTGTAAGGTGCTTTGATACATCCTGAGGTTGTGAACGGCATTATGTAAATGCAGGTTTATCTTAAATCAGGTACTCAGTGCAATCTGTCGCACTTGAAATATTTACCGTAGGAACTGATTTTATAGCACCCATAACAAAATTCCACTCCAGATATTTGTGAAATTAATCCAACTTTTTCTGTCCCTGTTGGATGAGTTTCTTGCATGTTCCACTGAGTAAATAGCTGTCATATTAGAGGCACGAAAATGAAAACACTATTACAATATTGTCCTTTTCAACTCACTAGCCAGGTATTGTGGACAGTTTAGATAGCAGTAGCAAAAGATGTTGTTTTTCTTGTCAGTGGAGACGGGAAATTTATTTCACTAGACTCAATACAGTCAGTTAAAATTGCATAAAATAACTAATTTAGACATGCATCAAAAGGATAAAAAGTTTGTATTTAGGGATAGTGGGAGGAAGGATTAAAATACAGAACAGGGAGTCAATTTGTGGTTTTCAGCTCTGGGAAGATAAAAGTTGCAGTGGGAGTGACAGGTCTTTGAATCATGCAGATATATTTACTCTAATAGGATTTTGAAGTAAATCCTGAGTTTTATGCAGATCTGGGCTGAAATATTGTATTGTGACACAATTCCAGTCATCACTGACATCCTCAAGCACTTAAATGGTAAGTTTAATGTCATGATTTTTCAAAACAAATTTCTTTATTTCAACTGATTGCAAAAATCATTATCTGAATTCTATTTATATTATGATCAATTTAAAATGCCTATTTTTCATCTGAGCAACATTTACAGCAGCTACTGACCACTAGAACAGTGGCAGTAATGCTTAAGTGCATGGGCAATAAAGCCTAGAGGTGAATCTTTTCAGGCCACCATTAACAGTGCATGCTAAGTGCAGGGCTGGATATTAAGGCTGATATCTGATTGAATTAAAGGGCGATAGTCTTCATGGAAAAATGTCAGTTATTTTCTTCTCTGGATAGTGAAATAGAGTGTTACTTTTGTGGTGGTGATATCACACTTGGAGTTATATATTTCCATATAGAATTATAACATAACATTACTGCCTGTTGGAGGGTGAGCGGAATTTTAAAGGACAGGTCAGAAACTCTTAGAGGCTAGCCTTGGGGCTCATTTGTGCTTTATGCACAGGAGTTTTCCATTCTGAGCAGGCAGAAACATGTAAATACTATGGAAACAAATCTCAAATTTGGTAAAAACATATCTCACTTCATTTTCTTTGCACCGTAGAGGTCCAAGTAGCAGAAGGATTATTATGGGACTTTGTGGCTCATGAACAACTTCCAGATCAGATGGTCTTTGGAGGATTTGATATGCCACTCCCTGAATCACCTGGGTAAGTTCTTTTTACAAGAGCAGCAGGAGTAGTCAGTATGGCACTGCCACTGATGGCCAATGGACCTGCAACTTCCGCATTTGTTCACAAGCCTCTTCCAAAGGATGTTCTTGCACTGGGGGGAATGCTGAGACTAAGATAATGTTCTGAAGTCACAAATATGAGTGCATTAAGCAGTAGGAATTTTGTGTGTGAATTTTGTCTGGGCCCCTGAAACAGATGGGCAGACAATGGGGAAATCGACCCCTCTTTGTTTGTGAGTAAATCAATTAAAAACTTTGCCAATTAAATTTTCAAGAGTTCAATGTCAGTTTTAAAACAATATGGATGGCTTGGTGGAGAGTTAGACTAGATTATTCTTGTGTTCATGCAAGTAAGTAATTGGTCACAGCCCACAAAGGATGATAAGAATTTCACTTCATTAGGAGATAAAACTGGTTCCACACTACTTGACGGGCACCATTTTGCAAGTGCATGGCAAGGTGGGGAAGTAGACCTCCAGGAGATACCACAGCCAATATTGGGATTGAACCCTCACTGTCGGTATCAGTCTGCATGGTGCACTAGTCACCTGAGTTAACCAACCCCTATATGCCATTGTTACCTAGCCATTTCCTTAGCCATGCAATTGTACATAGTACCAGAGAACCTTAAAAGCATGGCAGCAGTAAATAAAAGGATAATGGTAAATAACATGGCTGAATAAGACCATTTTGAGGTTGTCAGCATGTGAGTTTTGCTAGATAACTTGAAAAATAAGCACCTTTTAAAAAACGATAATCTAGTACCTGGGAGTTTAGAGGTACGTGGAGTAGTGAATCTGTTGAAGACCAGAAATGTTCTCCCAGAGAGATTTTTATAGTTTACAACCAACTAAGTGTAGACCCTGAGAGATGTAGGAAACACAGCAGCCAGGTGCACACAGCAAAGACCCACAAGCAGCAATGAGATCATCACATACTCTGTTTCAGATTTTGATTCCGGGACAAATGTTGGAGATTGGAAGATATCTTTTCCTCTTCTTCAAATAGCACCTTGGAATTTTTCACCTCAGACAGGGATTTAAGTGAAAGAAGTGCTGCACTGGCATGTCAGCCTAGGAAAGTTTGTTTGCTCAAGCCTGTTGTAGTAAGACTTGAGGTCTTAACCTCTTGACACAGGTGCTACCACTGAACCACAGCTGACATAGGAGAACGCCTATTATTTTAATATTTATTGCAACATGTCATGTTTCCGAAAAATAAATACAGATATGCGCAAAAAGAGGATAAATAGAAAATTGCAATTATATCATGCTGACCACCCACATACTGACGTCTGGATAACAATCCAGCAGCCTACTGTAAGGATACAGAATAAGATACTATTGATCTCAGTTAAGTGCTGCAGACTACGAGTCATCTCGTGATAATTATGCATCACTCAACCAGCTCACATGTATAATGAAAATGGCTAAGATTATACACCACACATGGTGTGTGGGCTAGTATATTCATAATATTTTGTCTTATTATTCTTGATTTCTGTTCATAATTATAGCTTTGGATCAGAAGAAAGCAGTGTTACTGTACACAAAAGAAAATTATATATAATTGGTGCTACTCACACAGTCATACCTTTACATTAAATGTTTTTAGTTCCTTCCATTATTTTAATTTCGGTTATGTTCCTCTTTTAACAATTTGGAGACTACAAGAGCATTGCCACATCTCAGACTCTGACAAATACTGCAATAATTTCTGACTTTCCCTCATTCTTCTAATCACTTCAGGTTTAAAATTTAATTTTGGCATCATTATGCATTACTTTCCAATTTACCTGACCTTTCCTTTCACTCTTTTCAAACTTGATGATGATGTGCCCTCAAACTTGCACATTGGCATCTCTATCGAAATAAAAGTAACATTTCATTTTAAAGTAATTTAATTCATTGCTTGCATCTCAACAACAACTTGCACTTATATAGCACCTTTCTTGTAGGAAATGCCCAAAGCACTAGACAGAGAGGTAATTAGGATTTTCCATTTCCTATTGCTGAATATGGAGATATTAAGGCAAATGGCCAAAGGCTGTTTGAAAAGTAGGAGTGTTACCTGCATACATGTGGAAGCTAATCTCATGTCTGCCACTTAGATGTGAATAAGCACCAGGAAAGGACCAAGGATAAACCATCAGAAGACTTCTGAGGTGACAATGCAATTGCCATTCTTCTGTGTGAAAATATAATGATGATTTCAGCACAGGGGGTGGTGAGTTTCCAATTGATACTGTTTATTGCTTGTTAAATGCCTTGTTAACCATTTAACTCACCATGGGTTGTGATTTTATGAAACAAGCCAAACAAACTAGCTGTTGGAAAACTTTGACGTGGAAACCTGAGCAGGTGCCTGGCAGATTCAGCTCATCACTTGTTCCAAATGACCTCTATGTTGCTGTGGCATTGATAGAATGGACACTGAGAAGGGAGAGGGTGATGTTTGGGGTTTAGCAACTCCTCACTGCTGAGGCTAAAAGCTAGTGCCATAGGCTGATCCTACTCCCATAGGCATATTGTATATCCCCACCATAACATATCCTTAGCGACCAGGGAGTGTTGTCACAGGGAGTAATCTAGGTTAGTGGAGCCTCCATTGGTTCATCTTCACTTCACCCTGTTACAAGATGACTTCCCCTGTAATGATAGAAAGAGGGCAAATGGGTTGGACACAAATGGATGGCACAGTTCTTCATTCTGGTGTCGAGGTATTCTGAGGGAGTGAGGAGGCAGTGAGGAAGGGATGCAGGGTTAGGAGAGTGGGAGGAAGGAGGGAGAAGGGGAATGTGAGGGAAGATGTCACATGCAATGGAGGGGGTGTCAGAGCAGACACCTACCTGGGAGGTGAGTGCAGTAGCTGAGATGCAGTGAGTGTGAGGTAGCAGAGAGCAGAAGATGGCACATTTCTTGGTGGCAGGAAGAAGGTCATTGACCTTCTTTTGGCACATATCTTGGTCCTCTGTACCCTAGACAGGGGCACTGACCCCATGGTGATCTCTGACCAGGCAGACATATTATGGTGCAGGGCTGGATGA